ATCATTCTTGTGGCCCTACGCTGCACCTTTTCTAATCTTTGCATATTTATTTTGTTTAATAGCATATGATATATCAAAACAAATGATTTACATGTAAATTAAAATGCCCCTAGGGTACTAGTTAGGGATACTATTCCTTCTAGCTCAACGCTTACCAATTCTTAGTACAGGCCACAGTTGATATCAATGGAACCTTTTTGATTTTCTAAGCAATCCTAATTTCTAACAGTTCTTGCATGTGCATTTCAAAAGTTACAACAATAATAATAGCAACCTAAGCCTGCTGTGCTATGACAGTTTTTGGTGCTTAGTATGACTTCTTTTTACTAAAAAATGTCAGTTCCTGAGTCAGTTGTCTTATGTTCCTGTTTTTGTTTTTTATTCCATAGCAGTAATTTGTTTGTGACCATAACAGGCAGTGTCTGTGCCAGGGAGAGACAGCTGACAGGCACGCTCACTGCGCACAAGTATTTCAAGTATACATGAAGAAAAAGGGATATTAGTGCAGCATTCCGCTTAACCAGTAGGAGGGGCTCGAAACAGTAACCTGGGCAAATGTAAAATTGCGGGATAGCTGAAAATCTGGCTAAAACAAGTTTCCAGTACGAATAATGCATTTCTTTCCGAAGTCACCTGCCATCCAATCATTATTGACAAATAATGTCTGTTTTCAGTGTTTGCATTTTCTGTTTGTTTCATTGTGTACATTTTAAATTTTAACATTGGCTCGGGTGGTATTAAAGTAATACAGTATACCTCAGTATTTTGGGTATACCACAGTATACCTCAGTATTTTGGGTATACCACAGTATACCTCAGCATTTTGGGTATACCACAGTATACCTCAGCATTTTGGGTATACCACAGTAAGGTTGAAAACCTTAGCCGGCTTGCTTACTTTGCGTGGTCCACGTAGCATTTACTTTTTCTGCCTTCTGTGCAATTTAATGCATTCAGGGTTTTTTTTTAAATCACATTTAGTTTTGTTAGCTAATTTTTCATGCTGTCATGTCATCCAGAAATTATACCATGATGATGATATTTTTTAATAATATGAATAATACCGACAGCCGTAAGGTTCCGTTCTAAAGATGTAACATTACACAATAAAACCAACACTTTTTTGCACTACAGTTTTAATATTACCTGCATCCGAGTCACTTGGTCACCTGGCCCATTCACACAGTTCCTTTTGACCAGTTCTCTAAAGCAGAAAAAGTATATATACACTTGTATGGAGGTTATTAGGTTCACCTGCTTGCTAATGCGAACAGCATGTTCCTACAAACGGTGAATCATGTGGCTGCAACTGAATACATACAGAACACAATCTGGGTCGAGAGGTTCTCTTACTGTTTGACTAAGCATTACAACACCAAATGGGCCTGACCTGAGCGGTTTTTAATCTAATGATTGGTTCTGTTTTGGATTTTGGCTCTCCATGACTGAAACTAGGGAACCCTGGCCAAAAGTTTACAGAAAATGATGTTTTACATTTATTTGTGTAGTCGATGTTTTTGTCCATGCTGCTTGTGTCCAAGGAATGTGATGAACAAAAAAATCAGTTATTGGTATTACTGTGACAAAGAAGCACATTTAAAAAAATATTATTATTATTATTATTTATTATACGATTATTACTGTATATGCGCAAGGTTGTTCCTTCTTTCAAAATCTTACATTTATGTTTATTACAGAAAAACGCGAGCAGTATGTTATATTCTTCATGAATCGTGAAGGTGAGATTTATTCGTCAGACTAATCTGAAACGTAGCCTATAGTAATAGGAAACGAGCAGGGCTTTTTGATTTAATGTCCATTTCTTCCGCTTACAGACGTATCATTTACCTGCCTTCTTTGACACGTCACATTCACCTTACAGGTGAGGCGACCCATAGTTTTCCTCACAACGCTGGCGATGGTGGATGAATGGAAGCAGGAAGCTGTGCTAAGCTGCCGCATCGCCGCTGACAGGGGGCCACTTCCGAGCGCCTGAAGATCATCCAAGTAGCCGACATCTGCTGAGCAGGAGGCGGCCCACTGGCAGGTCTGAAAGAAAAGTGATTTAAAGACTTTCGCGTAGAGAAATACAGGATGCCCCTTTGTTTCTGAATACATATATCAGCGCAGATTGGGCTATGGATTTAGTTTCATTTCGTTCGCAAATACCGAGGAAACGGGAACGATTTCTGAACCTTTATTAAAATAATATGAAGTAAAAAAACACAAATACAGAAAATTGTAATTAACATATTGCGCTGCATGGACCTTATTTACATTTAATTATGATTCAAATGCAGATTTGCACCGATTTTGACCTGTTGCGTTTTATGTATTTAAACTGTGTCGCGCGCGCGCGTGTGTATATGTGTGTGTGTGTATATATATATATTTATTATTTATATTATATTATATTTATATAAATAAATATAATATTGTTGCCGATTGTGAAACATGATGAAAAAAGGTACATTTAGTGAATGAATCATACGTTCGAATTCCATTCGTATTTGTCTGTTACATATTTCCGTTCCCATCCGATATATGAAAGACGTGTAAAAAAAAAAAAAAAATTCACAAAACAATTCAGATATATAAATTTAACCTGCTCCGTAAGATGTATAACGTATGGAAATTTTTCGGTGACGAAGTCTTTTGTTCTGTGACTGCCCGTGTGTCAAGAACCGCAGATTGTAATTCATGATCTGAAATTTCTGCCCTACAAGTTCTACACCTTATTCAGGTGAGCATGAGGCAGGAGATATCCTGAAAAGGATGCTAGTCCATTAACATGTTTTTGGACCATGGGAGGATCCTGGATTACCCATAGGAGACCTGTAGAAATTCAGGGAAAACATTCTCATTTCATAATACATAGTCTAAACGGCATAGACAGCATCACAATCCAGTTCCCACTGACCTACCAGGCTTCCCTTTACCATCCATCCATCCATCCATCCATCCATCTCCAGATTTTCCAGTGTTATAGAACGGATAATGTGAAATGAAGTTTATATGCTTAAATTACTTTAGGTTAAAGATGTGTAGGAACATCATGTCATTATCGTTTACATTGTTTTCTCCTCTTACAGGTTAGAAGAATGCGGCGGTCTTCAAATATCTTCGACATTTCTGCTTTGTTTATGATTTCTGCCTTGTGCTTATTCATCATTTTCAAAAAAGACTTGTTGCCTCGTGACTCAGTTAAAATCTCAACCAATGAACAGCCACCTCCGAATCGCAACCCCACACGTGCCAGTAGGTTCAATTATCCTTGGAATCCATGTACCCCGAATGACTCTGCTCGGAGCATTCCAGGATTTTCTACTCTCCCAGGTCACATTCAGAACTTCCTCTATTATCGGCACTGTCGGCAGTTTCCGATGCTGCTGGACGTGCCTGACCTCTGTGGAGCTACGCCAGAAGAGTCTGCCAACGTCTTCTTGCTGTTAGTAATAAAGAGTTCTCCCTGGAACTATGACCGACGTGAAGTGCTGAGGAAAACTTGGGCAAAAGAGCGCCTGCAGGATGGAGTGTGGATCCGGCGGGTCTTCATCTCAGGGGTCACCGGCAGTAGCGAGGAGCAGCGTAAACTGAACAAGCTGCTGTGGCTGGAGCAGCAGGAGAACCAAGACATTCTGCAGTGGGACTTTAACGACTCCTTCTTCAACCTGACCCTGAAGCAGGTCCTCTTCTTAGAGTGGATGATGAACAACTGTCCTCGGGCCCACTTCCTGCTAAATGGAGACGACGACATCTTTGCAAACACAGACAATATGGTGGAATATCTTCAGAGCCTGAAGGATAATGATGGGGACAAACACCTTTTCACCGGTCACCTCATTCACTACGTTGGGCCCATCAGAGAACCTGGAAGCAAGTACTACGTCCCCGTCCAAGTTCAGGAGTCCAATTCATACCCCCCATACTGTGGGGGTGGAGGCTTCCTCCTGTCTGGTTTCACTGCTACAGTCATATACAACATGTCACACAGTATCGAACTTTTGCCAATTGATGATGTATATATGGGTATGTGTCTGGAAAAGGCTGGGCTGGAGCCGGCGTCTCACTTTGGCGTTAGGACAGCGGGGTTACACGTCCCTTCGCTAACGGCTGATAAATATGACCCCTGTTATTATCGGGAGATCTTGCTGGTGCACAGGTTCTTGCCCCATCAGATTTTCATCATGTGGCACGAGATCCACAACCCAAGACTTAAATGTGGCAAATCCCACAATGTCATCTGACTACTGCTCAGGACAATTTGTCATTTATTAAATATGATTTGTCTAGTTTATTAGGTTCTTTGTATGGGGTATTGGTCCTGTATTGTCTGTTTATATATGAAATAAAGAATGTATTGAAATTTTGTTAACTTAAGAAGGCCTGAATTCCGGCGTTAATGCGGTGACATTGGTGATCTCTCTTCCTGGATCATGTGTTATCACATGTAACAGCTCTCTAAACAACGACAACAAAGCTGTGGTAGTACTGGTTAATATTTGTTTACTAGCAACAACACATACAGGGTACAATAATAATGCAACAGAGAACATGCATACATATGAGACACATCAAAATGAAAATTGCAGCTGAAATTAAATTAACAACTAAAAAAAAATGCATTTTAACTTCTATTTTATAAAACACTCTCACCTTTATGGTGTTACATTGAAGTTAGTTTGTCATTGTCACAAACTATGTTAGTTTATGAATTGTGGGTATAAGGTACCATGGTTACCAATAATTAGAAATATTTCAATTAACACTATATTTTTTAATTGTTACAGATTGTTAAGTTTGATCATATTCAGAGAAACATGGAAGATTTTATTAAGTGAAAACTGGCAGTTAGCATTTGCTAACAAATGCAGGGGTTATCGTTGATTAATTTTCACTTCAACTTGCAGGTCACAAGCACAAGAAATTGCATTTGATCAATGGTCTTTACATAGTCTTTTTAAATTCATTTTCATTTCTTGCACTTTCTGGATTTGAAACAGATAAGGACCATATATTGGCCAGATTTACATCGAATGTTGCCAAATCTGGCCTGTATCTGCACCAGAGTCAAAAGTTAAATTCAGATCCAGCTCTAACAGGGACAGTGAGTGGGTAAGTGGGCTAAGTCTCTGTGCCTGTGATTTTGAAGGTTGTTGGTTCAAGCCCCACCCTTCCCAATGGGCACTGCATGTCAGCTGACCCTGTACAGTGACCCCTCCCCAGCTGTGGAGAATAACATGGGGTCACTAAAAAGAAGCCTTTCAATGCAATATTTGTTTGTTAAATGTGACTGTCTCATTTTTTTCCAGACTGACTACAAACCAGTTCTGCCCCAGGATCCTGTCTTAACACGTGTGGCTGGTGAGTGGCTCAGTGGGCTAAGTCTGTGTGTGGGAGCCAGAAGTCGCTGGTTCGAGCCCTGGCTCTGGTGTAGTGCTTGTGTGTCTGTGGGCCCTTGAGCAAGGCCTTCAACCCCCAGCTCTGGGGGTGCTATGTGCCAACTCACTTACAAACAATGGAGAACAAGATGGGGTTGGTGTAGAGAACTATATATGTAACTATAAAAACTTAAGTTCTGGTCACACACTTTAATTTGCATTAGTTACACTAATGCTTCACTGGACCACATCTCTTCAGCCACCCCATCTTGCTCTTTTTAGCACAGGGTCTGCCAACACCCCCAGAGCTGGGGGTTAAAGGCCTTGCTCAGAGGCCCACAGACATGTAACCACTCCACCAGGGCCGGGGCTCAAACCAGCAACCTTCTGCTCACCAGCACAGAGACTTAGCCCACTGAGCCACTCCCCAGACACATGAGTCAAGGTAGGATCCTGGGCAGAACTGGTCGGCACTCAGTCTGGAAAAAAATGAGTCAGCACCACATTTAACAAACATGCTTTACTTGCACAACTACAGGTACATTGAAATGCTCCCCTTCATTAATGTCATCTAACTCCCCAAAGCTTGGGGGCGGGGGGGTCACAGCCCACGGGGAGCTAATGTGCAGCAGCTTCAGCAGAGGCCAGGGATTGAACTGGCAAGCTTCAGGTCAGGTCCACAGAGACTTAGCCCACTCAGGAGTGCCGATAATCACGGCACATGTGTTTTTGTTAAATATAATTGGACTAAGCTACCCAGCTCCAGTGATGGACTCAGTCTTTTCTTGAATGACCCCCGCCCCCCATTAGACTCATAAGAACATAAGAACATAAGAAATTTACAAACGAGAGGAGGCCATTCGGCCCATCAAGCTCGTTTGGGGAGAACTTAGCTAATAGCTCAGAGTTGTTAAAATCTTATCTAGCTCTGATTCACCTTCGCACCCCTATCGACCTCAATCTCGTCTCGCACTAGCCCCTCCTGGTGGACTTGGCCTTGAGTTGGGTTTGATTTGTTATAAATAAGGTCTCCATTCAGACTCAACTAAGGTCATAAAGCATCAGATTTAGGCTCCTGGATATCAGTTTTCTTCAAAGTATGAACTGCGGGGTGCAATTTCAATACCAGCAAGAAGCATTTTACCAGGAGAAATTCAAAATCTAAGTCAGTGGATCAAAGAGTCATTTTGGTCATATCTGTCCATGAGAAAATAAGGCCTTTATCCAGCAGAACTACTATATATGATAATGAATCACTAGGACACTTTCATAATCAATAAACATTGTTACAAATTCCCGTGTTTCTATAACAACTACCCTCCTAAATATATTGTTCTCATTATTACGTGGGTTTGCATAATAAAGCCGCGCAGTAAAAAAAAAAAAAAACTCTCCAAATATTAGTAGGTCTGATCAGACATTTATTTCTCGAGTAGGTGAGATTTTCCAACAGGACGCGTTGATTTCTGTCCAATGTTGTTGTACTTTCACTTGTTTTGCTTACCGTATGCGTACTGCTGCAAACTTCAGTTACTTTAGTTACTAGCTAGACACTGCTAAATGTAAGACGTGTGTAAAAGTATTGCGTGAATAACTTGATATTTTAATGAATTTTCGCTGGGACATTATGAATGAATAAGCAAGAATATTACTTTAAGTGCTAAACCATTTTGATGCATTAAGTTTCATTTAGCCTACATGTTATGTTTTTAAAAAACTCAAGTGCCATAACCACTCGATATGTACAATACCCATAACCAACAAAATAACTTTTTGATCACATTTTTTTTTTAGTTTATTCTGTATTGTTTCGAAGTGGTAACACAACAAGCCGATAAATGATCATACTGCATCTTTAAGGCTGTAAGCATAAATATGTATGATACGGGACACAAAGTTGAGGCGAATAAGAACCTTATAGCATTGTTTCTTTGTTTTGGTGTGTTTCGCATTTGATTTTCAAAATAAAGAATGTTGATGACAAAAAATATAATTACAGGTGCAATAATAGTTGCCAAAACATGCACGTATTTATCAGACCTTTCTTGTAGTTGTATCTTTAATATGGCTTTCTCCACACACCCCAGTGTGTTTGTACTGTAATAATAAAGGTATGTTAACTAGGAAGATGGACTGCACCCTAGTAAAAACGAGAAAGTGATGGAACGTAAATATTTCCTGAACTTCCTTATACATGACGTCTGAGGGACCACAGGTCTTTCACAATGTAGCTATAATGTATGAGACTGACGGACTAAATCTCTCTGAAACCCCACAGTGCCCAGCTGTTTACTAGAATTAGGCTAAGTTTATTCGGAGCTGGGGGGGCGGTACACCGGTACCATAGTCATTACCGGTAAGACATGGATTTACACTATAACGTTCTCGACAGCTATAGCTATGATAGAACAGCCTATTTATAAAACAATAAACCATAAAAAATATAAAATAAAATTAAAGCATTTTATCTAGCCTACTTCAAAGCTTCAGCTGTAATCGGAATACTTGTCCTTGTATAGTAAATGTAACCGGTTTATCTTTGTTGTGTGAATTTTCCATTAAACACGCTCTGACGTCGTGTCCTGATAACTAACGTTCAAAAACAAAAGCGGGGGGGGACGCACCTCTGTTATTTTAAATAATCCGATATGGAGCAAACATTTAATGTACAGACATCCCAACCCTTCGGGAAGTTCCGGGAGTCTCTCGATCGTGACGCCAGCTGTCCTCCGAAAATTCTAGATAAGCTCACATGTGCTCTTCATCTGAAAAACAAATGTCCGGGATATTATATATAATTTGCGGGCATCAGGGAGCCGCTGTCAACATGCGTGAGAATCCCGGAACTTCCGGGAGAGCTGGGATGTCTGCACCGTCCGTTTGTCAAATTTGTTCCTTGATGCTTTCATTTGCGTGTGTTTGTGTTCCCTGACACAATTTGGCTCACAGCTACCATGCGACCACAAAAGTGTTCTTCTTTTTGTACAAGAGCTGGTCATTTTAGTTTTGTTGTAGAGCAGAGGTGCCCAATTAATCTTGCTCCTGGAGAGCTACAGTACCACCCTGCAGAGCTTATACTGTAGGTACAGCCCTAACTTAACACACCTGATACAGATAATCAGGCACTTCAGTTATATCTCAGTATGAAGTGTTACCGATCTGATACACACTTACAATGTAACAAGCGCTTTATTGCCAAGTTCATGTCTGCTGTTTTGAACTTTTCAATCGATATTAACAGGCGTTTGACAGCCTATAAGTAACAACCCGTTTTCAGATCCGCGACTTATTTTATTAGTTTTATGCTCTATATCTGTACGCTAACAAAATACAATGTCGTATGATGTGTTACATACGTTTTATGAGCTTACATACACAGAAACGATCATTTACACGAGTTACAAAAGAGAGCTTCAATTCCTTTCGCTGTTTTCAGTGGCGAGACAGGCATTCTGCGTCAGGGATGCCTTTTTTTGGCATAACACCGCCCCTGATCAATTTAACTTTTAATCCTATCGGGATAGGTTTTCATGTTATAACGTGATACGGTTTCTCGTTTTAACGTGATGTTTTCACGCAATAATGTTATATTTTCACGTTATAACGTGATAGTGAGAATATTTTTTTATTATGTCCTGGCAGTAATTACGGAAGAGGATAATTAGGGCCACCATGAAAATATTATTTGAATTCTGACTTTAATGTGGCCCTAATTATCCTCTTCCGTAATTACTGCCAGTACATAATAAAAAATATTCTCACTATCACGTTATTATTTGGTAGGCTTGTGAATGCATTAATCGAATTTCAATGCTTTCTGATGTGAAAAATTCTGTGATAATAATTTTAGGTCATAGTGCTCATCCCTATTCAGAACCATCATCTAGAGGGAAAACAGAGGATCCAAAACTAATTTCAAATGACCAGCAAACAGTACTGCTGCCTTCCACCTCCAGCACCTTTCTAAGGCTATTTCCGTTCACCTGGGATGGCTTTCAG